GATGTCATCGATCGTGGAGGTAGAAAAGCGTTCGACCGCGTGGACCATGCTCTGCTCCTCCAGGCTGTGATCGACCTCCAGGTCGGCTCCAGAATGGTGGCTTGGATTCATAACTACTTGACAGACAGACAGCAGAGAGTAGTGGCTTCTGGGGAAACGAGCTCCTGGCTCACTTTGACATCCGGTGTACCCCAAGGCGGAGTTATCTCCCCGTACTTGTTTTTGCTGTTCATGAGTTCCCGTAGAACAGTCCACCTAGACACTATGAACGTCGGCTACGCGGATGACATCACTTTGTCGAGAACCATCTTGGCACTGAAGGCGAACGACGATATGTCAGTTGAGGAGGAGTCATCCAACCTTGACTCTTGGGCTTGTGAACAGAAGATGACTTTGAATGGCAAGAAGAGCCAACTGCTCCAGATCTCTTTTGCAGAAGTGTTCCCGTGCCACCTACATTGACCCTTGGGGGAGAACCAGTGCCAGTCGTTGACTCAGCAAAAGGTCTAGGTTTATCTTAGATAAGGGTCTCACCTTTGACGAGCAGGTCAACTCGATGGTGACGAAAGCCTCGCGGAGACTACACTTCCTTAGACTACTCACCAAACAAGGAATGAGTGTCTCTGACCTCATTCAGTTGTACACAGCCCTTGTTAGGCCGGTGCTGGAGTACGGCCACGTGCTCTTAGTGGGCTGTAGTAAGAAACAGGAACTGTCTCTCGAGAGAGTGCAGAGGAGAGCCTTGAAGATCATCTCTCTGGGTGGAAGGAGGAATGTTCCCGACCTCCCAACACTCCGCGAAAGACGTGAACTTGCGGCTGTCAAGCTGCTCAAGCGTATGCTCAGCCCTGACCACCCACTACATGATTTGGTACCAGGAGCCAGGTCGGACAGCACAGGGAGGTGTTTGAGGAACTCTGGGGGAATCACGGTGCCCAAGGCACGGACAAACAGACTGTACAACTCATTCCTCCATTGCACAATCAGACTGTACAATAGCGAAATGCAGACTTAGTGTTCTTTTGTTTCATGTCCCACTCCTGTATGTAATTGTCTTGTGCGTTTTTTACACTTAATAATATTGAAAGTCCACACAATTCAGGAGTACTATGTACCCCTGCTATGTTGACTATTCTTAATAAAATTGAAATTGAAAAAATTGAAAAAAGGAAAGGAGGGAGCTCAAACTTTCTGCCTATTGTCCGATGTTGGCCGCGGGTGTCAAAACTGTAATTGGCACGAACTTGTCAATTGCCCTGATTTGCGTAGCCCCCAGAGCGGCACACCAGAGTTTTCCATTGTTATTAATGTCAGTGACAAGACGGCATGCACTATAAGTGTAGCAACTTTTATTCTACGGTAAGTTTGTATCAAATTTGAGGATTACTTCGATGAATGCAGGGAGGTAAGAAGCGTGTATCAAAGACGACAAACTTGACGGACGGCACGGCACTGCAACTATTTTCTAGTAACTAGACTTAATTGTTGTTTCTAGTATCTTTATACC